CACGTGGTGTCATTAGCAGAGGCGTGACGGGGTGGACGGATGTGACCTTTGATTGTGACCTTTTATAACTGGAGTTTGGAGCCTGTACCTGCAGATGGAGCTGGCAGGGCCCCGCACAGTGCTCCCTCTGTGCGTGTTCCTGCCTGGCACGATTGACACGTTGCATTTGCCCTCTTATGTCAACACGCACGAGCACACCCACCCCCCATCCCATACAACTTGTGCTGCGCGCTCCCGTTGAATGCGCGTGCATGGTTGGCTCTCATCGTGTCACGTTCACATCCTTCTGCATCCACTGTTTAAACGGTTCTTTACGCTGCGCGTTATCGGACTGCGTGATGCGTTCAGGTACCCTCGTCAAAGTGACGCTCTCGGTTGCTCATTTCTTATTGAGGGTAAATCAACAGTTCTTGTTTTTGATGTTTCCCCTGTATTATCATTTCCTTTTGTATTCAAACGAATTATTTTATCAACAAAATGCCTCTGCACATTTTATTTTGTATTTAAAAGTAACTGAAGAAGCGCTTTGTTAAATCGATGTCAGGTTTTTACATAAAAACACTTTATTATTAAAACATGTTAGTGTTTCAAAGTGGTAAGATTTCATTTTTGAATGCACGGCCGTTTGAAATAAAACTCAATAGACGATGTAGGACTTTATTGTGTATATAAATTGCACGTATACATAATTGTATGTTGAACTGTGCAGTATTATGTGTTTTATTCTCTTAATCGTAAAGATGTGGTTCGACCTTTGACCCTCAGGGCCGTTAAAACCAGAGATCTCCGTCGCCTACGTCGCCGTCTCGCTCATCTTCTTCAACAGCGGCCTGTCGCTGAAAACAGAGGTGAGAGACCCCAAAACGTCCTTTAGACCCCGACGGACGCAGATGACAAATGTCTTCTTCTTCTTCTTCCTGTTGGTCTGCAGGAGCTGACCAGCGCTCTGCTTCACGTGCGTCTCCACCTCTTCGTCCAGACCTTCACGCTCGTCTTCTTCCCGCTGGCCGTCTGGCTGCTGCTCAAAGTGCTCGCGCTCACCGCCATCGACCAATGGCTGCTCAGAGGGTAGTGTGTGTGTGTGTGTGTGTGTGTGAGTGTGTGTGGGCGTGTGTGTGTGTGTGTGTGTGTGTGTGTGTGTGTGTGAGTGTGGGCGTGTGTGTGTGTGTGGGCGTGTGTGTGTGTGTGGGCGTGTGTGTGTGTGTGTGGGCGTGTGTGTGTGTGGGCGTGTGTGTGTGTGTGGGCGTGTGTGTGTGTGTGTGTGTGTGTGTGTGTGTGTGTGTGTGTGTGTGTGTGAATGAATGCCACCCTTTGTTCAGATTGTACCTGAAGGGCGACACAGACGCTCATTCACTGCTCGTGTGTGTGTGTGTGTGTGTGTGTGTGTGTGTGTGTGTGTGCGTGTGTGTGTGTGTGTGTGCGTCTCGTGGATGCCGTTTCTGGTCGGAGGGAAAAGCGAACGTGAAGCCAGTCTGGCGGCCATCTTGGTTTCTCCATCTCAGATTCTGTCTGTCAGAATATTTAATTAAATTGATACGTAGCCTGACCTCTGACCTCTTCTTACCGGTGTCATTTCTATCTCTTACCGGTAGCAGCGGATCCTGACCGTTCTTCTTGTTCTCCTCTTCATGTCCCGCCGTGGTTGCCTAGGTTACAGACGGTGAGCTGCATGCCCCCCCCGGTCTCCTCGTCCGTCATTCTCACAAAGGCGTCGGAGGCAACGAGGTAAAACACAGCGACGTCAGGAGGTCGCCGCCGGAGCAGCTGCTGAGGGGAGACGCGTTTCTATGTGGACGTGTGTGTGTGTGTGTGTGTGTGTGTGTGTGTGTGTGTGTGTGTGTGTGTGTGTGTGTGTGTGTGTGTGTGTGTGTGTGTGTGTGTGTGTGTGTGTGTGTTCCTCCAGGCTGCTGCCATCTTCAACTCAGCGTTTGGAAGCTTCCTGGTGAGAGATCATGAGCTTCATGAAGCATCTGCTCGCCGCCATCAATAAAAAGTCAACAATAATAAGAACAACGATGATGGATTCATGTGTTTGCAGGGAATCATAGTGACTCCAGTGCTGCTGCTGCTGTTTGTGAGTCACACACACACACACATTATATCTCACACCAGTCGGAGGTTGAAATCTTTTATTGCAGTTTGTAAAGCATGCTAGCTCTGGCTAGCTGGCTGCACAGCACATGCTCCCTCCTCTGCTCCTCCTGGTCCTCCTCCTCCTCCTCCATCCTGGCGTTGCCGTGACAATCACTTGGGAATCACACCAGTCTGAGTGTTAACCAAGTTTGGTCTCCTCTTCCTCCAGCTCGGCTCCTCCTCCTCCGTTCCCTTCTCCTCCATCTTCTCTCAGCTGTTCATGACGGTGGTGGTTCCGCTGGTCCTGGGTCAGGTGTGTCGGGGTTTCCTCAGGGAATATCTGGAGCGCAGAAAGCTCCCGTTCGGCGCCGTCAGCAGCGGCGTCCTCCTCATGATCATCTACACCACCTTCTGTGACACCTTCAGCAACCCCCACATCGAGCTGGACCCCACCAGTCTGCTGCTGGTCGTCCTCATCAGTCAGTGCTGTGTGTGTGTGTGTGTGTGTGTGTGTGTGCGTGTGCACCTCTGACAACATTAAAAGTGATTTCTTTGTTCTAGTTTTCTTCATCCAGCTCAGCTTCATGCTGCTCACGTTTGCCTTTTCAACCAGGTGAGTCACCTTCGTCCTCCTCCTCCTCCTCCATGGTCCTCCTCATTACAAAGCGTAGTGAATTAAACAGACTCACACACCCAGAGGTCACAGCAGGTGAGTGACTTCCTGTTTGTCTCTGCAGGTCGGGCTCAGGCTTCAGTCCTGCAGACACCGTCGCCATCGTGTTCTGCTCCACACACAAGTCTCTCACCCTGGGTACACACACACACACACACACACACAGAGGAGAAGATGCATCCAGTCACATTACTGCAGTTTAATAGCCCCCCCTCCTCCCCCCCCCCCAGGTATCCCCATGCTGAAGATCGTGTTCAAGGGCTACGAGCATCTCTCTCTGATCTCGGTTCCTCTGTTGATTTACCACCCGGCTCAGATTCTGCTCGGCTCCGTCCTCGTGCCGACCATCCGGAGCTGGATGACCAGCCAGCAGAAGGTGCACACACACACACACACGCACACACACACACACACACTGCTCTGGGCCTCTCCCTGAGCCTGCGGGCTGCATTCCAACACTAACCTGCTCTCCTCTCCGGCAGTCCAGTGTGTTGTTGAACTTGGGCCGTGTTCCATTACTGAGCAGTGGAGCGGGTCTTCCTCTGGCCTTTCGTCTGGGAGCTGTGCTGCAGCGCGCCTCTGCTGTCGCTCCGCGTCCGGTTATCAAAAGGGATATTTCACCCGTAGAATGTAGATCTAGTAAATCAAAAGTGTGTTGTTCTTATTGGAGCTGTTTAAAGCAGAATGATGACATCACTGTAAATGTAATCTTATTCTCAGATATTAGATGAAGAAAATTGCGATTTAAATGTTTGGTGAATTTTCTGTTTTTTCTTAAACGTGAGAATTTATAGATACGAACTCGTATAATGTGATGAATATTCTCCTTACTAAGTAGTCTCCCCCCCCCCTCCCCTCTCGTTCCTCTCTGCTCAGGCGCTGAAGCTGTCGACTCTTCAGCCCGTCTGACGGAGGAGAGGAAGCGGGTGTTCCGATGGTTCTTCCACGTGCCTTATTACGAATAATCAACAGAGGCCTCACCGCGGCGTGGGGGGGGGGGGGGCGTGACCCCTACCGGACCCCTCAGATTGTGTGACGAGACAGAAAATGTCATATTGTCATATGTATTATTTTATATTTCAAAGAAGCATAATAATAACTTTTATTTTTTATATGAAATACCTGCAAAAAGAGCATAAGTGTTTTTTTGGAGTACTTCATTTGAATAATGCCCCCCCCTCACTCCTGAAGCAGGAAAGACAGAGTTCTTTTTAAAACTTTCTGGCTGTTTTCTACTTTTTTTCTACTCTCTTTAGCTGTTCCTGCCAGCGAATGAGGACATGTGTTACATTTCTGATTTGAGTCTGATGTTTAATATCCAGGATAAGAACGAGTTTCTGATTCAAAATATTTATCTGTTGACATGAAGGGAATCGGGCGATCTTTCCTGTATCTCTAGATTATCATTTTCTACGCAGATGAGACCTCATTCTATCTGAGTGATATCGTGAAGTACGGCTAACTAGGGATTATTGGAGGAATACAAATTTTGACTGGATGACAAAAGTCAGGGGGCCACAAAAGCTTTTACTGTTCATCCTGCGGGGACCTTGAATGTCTGAATCAAATGTCACGGCTTTCCATCCAACTGTCTAGATTTTGACAACCAGGTTCGTCATGTTGATATTTTGAAGTAGAAACTGAGCCACTTGTGGCGCTACAGGAAAGTTCAGGGAACCACCAAAGCAATTGTGCTTTGTCATCTGGGAACCACGAATGTCTGTATCAAATCTCATGGAGATCCTTTCACTAGTTCCCTACTGGCCGTTTATCCTATTCATCGAGACGACAGCGAACGCATCATTGTCACAACCAATCAAAACTGGAGCTGCGACATCCCTCAAAGCTGCTCTGTGACGTGACCAAATGGACATTAACTTTCGGACAATGTACAAATAAAAGGGCTCAGACTTTGCTCAGGGGCACTTCGGCAGCATTCCTGTTAAACATTTGCTGGGGTTGCGAATCTGGACAATGATTTATAGTAATACTGATAGAACTAGAATTGGTATATCTGCTGTGTTGGCTGGGAATATTTCTCCTCCACCGATGAGTTTGGTTTCCTCGTTGGACGAAACGTGCATCGTTGTATTCACGGCAACTTGCTTGTTTACCGTAGATACATATTCCTCCACAGGACAACCCCCGCAATCAGATTGATTTCATCCAAAGACGCAACGATCTGTTTGCAGAGAGAGCCTTTTGTTGGTGGGGTGTTTTGGAAAGAAAGATATTTAGTAAGAAATCTGTTTCCTTTCACTTGTTTACAGCGCCCAGAAATAAACCTACAAACTTAAAACATATGTTTCAGCCTCTTTATCTGTATGTATCCGTAGAGGAATCCCAGAAAAGTGTATGTAAGAAGTTTATCCTACTTTCTCTTTTAAGTCTTAACAATCCTTCGTCTAATGTTCCTTCTCACGGTTAGTTTCAATGCAGAACATCCGGGATAAACTGGGATTTATTTGCAGCTCATTCCTTTCACTGACCCATGGTTTTCTGGACAGATGGCTCTTCTGACACCTCGTTTGAATGAAGTAATAATAAATGAATACTGTGAAAGTCCTGCCAACAGACCAGAGAGGCCTTCTGACACACAGTGTTATGAAATGACTGAACAACCAGCTTTACTGTACAAACAGACCACAGATAAAATCAGGAATCAGGACACAATGTATAACACTGAAAATATACTTTATTGTAACATCCTTCCATATGACTTCAAATGACACTTTTTTTTAGATTTAGTATAAATGTTTGATGTTGGTGAGCAGAAGTCAAAGTTTGAAATCATCCTTGCCTCGTCTTTAAATATCATACATTCAATTAAGAAGCATATTGTTGCTTTAATTCTCTAAACATGCTGGAGGCCTAAATCTCGGGGCTACAAACGAACATTTTCGCACAAGTTGGATATTTAGATTAAAACACCCTTTTCATCAAGGTATGACCACTATCTTCATGTTTTTATAATGCCGTGAACTAGCTTGGCTAGTTAATGGGACATTCATTCTTGGCTGGTCGGCTACCATTAAAGAAAGTCCATCATTTGCATCACCATTCATGTTAGGCTAGTTAGTTACCATTGGAAAAGGTCAATTCTTTATTAGTAGTACCATTCATGCTAGGCTAGTTAGATACCATTCATGACGTTACATTCTTTATTTGATACTTTACTGAACCTAATGTTGCTGCAGGCTCCAAAACCTCTGCTCTTCCAGTAGCGTAGATTTTAGTATCTCAAACCTTCAGTTTCCAGGGGATGCGAGGACATCATACTCTGCCAGGAGCACAAAACTGTTCTCCCTGATTCTCCGGACCCGGACCAGATCTCCACCCTCTGGGAGGTGAAGGAGCCCTCTCTCTCCTCTCCCGTACTCCGTCTCTCTGTCATTCAGCGTCAGCTGAGTCTGTTTGCCGCAGGCCTGGCGGCAAGTGTACCTCACTAAGACCACCAGCACCGTGCCCAGCCCCACCGAGCAGCCAAGAAGCATGCTCAGCTCCCATGCGCTGTGCCGGGGCGGTACGTCTGGATGCTTCTTGTCTGGAGTCCTAGGCGGCTTGGGGGGAGGTTTGGGTTCAGGGCCGGTTTTGGGAAGGTTTGGTTTCAACTTGGGGCCGAGGTTTGGGTGCACCGCTGTTCTTGGTGTTGGCAGATCGCTGTTGGTTCCAGCATTGGATGATTCGATGTGGTTCTGGATTGGCATCCAGTGACCTGGGGTGAGTTGTTGGGGAGGAACAAGAGAGGGGGTGAAAGATGCTAGAGGGTTGTAGAAAGAGCGACGGGGAGCTGGAGAGGGTTCTGGCTGAGGGCCGGTAGACCGGGACGAAGAAAAGGTGGCAAACAAGTTTGAGGAGGAGGAGGATGTTGAGGTGGAACTAGCGATGGATGGGTAATAAGAGGGAGGGGACGGGGGAGAAGAAATGGAAGAGGTTGATGAGGACATTGAGTAGGAAATGAGGGCTGGAGAGATGGTCGGAAAAGAGGCCAAGGAATTGGCTGAACCTGTGATGGTCTGGGAGGAGGTGAAAGGAGATGAGGAAGAAGTAGATAAAGGGGCTGAGGCAATCATGGGTAATAAGGATGGATAGTCTGAGGAGTTTGAAGGACCTACAGTAGAAGAGGTTAAGGAGGATGGTAGAGGGGAAGTAGAGGAAGGTTGAGCTGGCGAATGACGAGGAATGGAGATTGGGGAAGGAGAAGGGAGAGAAATGAGGGCTGGAGCTGTTTCGGGTAGGTTCTTCATTGAGGTGGGAAAGGGTAAAGATGACAAAGAGTCATGGTGGAAAAACGTACGTATGGATAAAGGGGCTGAACCTTCGGAGAGATACATAGGAGTGGTGGGGGGAACAAGGGAAGAGGCATGCCATCCATGGCTGGAGGAAAAGGAGGTAGACCCTAAACGGGAAGGAGATGCAGAGGATTCCAGCTTTGCTTGAGACAGAGGACCTTTGACTTTCTTATCTTCACCCAGTCTAACCCTTGATGTTAAGTGCAGAAGGTTGATAGATCGAAGAGTTGCTGATGTTTGAGTTGGCTTCCTACCAAAGGTATGCACCTGGGGGTCAGCGGTTTGGGAAGGGGGCCGGAACCATTGGAGGGACCATGGCTGGGGAGAGATACTCAAAGCCTCAGCCGTTGGGACAGATTTGGAGTGTTCTGTTTGGGTATAGCTAGTTTGACTATGAGTTAGAGTTGGGATAGTTTGAGTCATGACTTGGGTAAAACTCACAGGTTGAGGTGGGGAAGGTCTGCTCAGAGGTGAAGCGGTTGTTTGTCTAAATTGAGTTGTGGGTCGACTCTTTTCAGGGTGAGGTAAACTGCTCATGGGTTGCAGGATAAGGGTGTTGGATGGGAAAATGTGTGGTGGAGAGGTTCGGGACATAGATAAAGGTTCACGGAAGAAGGCAGAGGTTTGGCTTGGACTAGTTGGAGAGTGAAGAATAGGTTCGACTGAAGATGTTTCGGGGTGGGGAGAAGGTTCAAGTTGAAGATTCTGGGGCTGAGGAACGAAGTGGTGGCCCTTTTCATTCTTGATTAGACTCATTTGGGACTTGGTAATCCTCCAGGGCTGCAAAAAGCTACTTTGGTTCAAAAACTTTACAGATATACTTTGGTCCGGAATTGTCTCCCTTCGATTCTGAGATGGATCGTGGATGGTGGGTTTTATATTGTGGAAGCCGTGGTTGGTTGAAGGTACGTTGGTTCTACTGGAATTAACCGTTGTTTCGGGAACGTTGGGCAGTATTAGATCCTTAGAGTTCCGTTCAATCTCACCCTCCATCAAAGGGAGTAGGGAAGCATTGGGTTGGAGCAGGAAAAGGGGGCTGGTGATGTTGGACAAAATGTCAGTACCAGTTTCCACCCCTTCGAGAACTTGGTGAGTTGATTCTGCTTCTTCACTGACATGTGAGACGGTTGTATAAGTGTCCTTCCTACTGCCTTTGGTAGCATTCTGATTAAAACCCCAAATAATGGAACTCTTCTTTCTTTTATTGACCGCCTGGTTTGTCAGAGGGTTTACCTCCCAGACTGGACGCGACGCTTCTGTTTGTGTTTCCTGAGGTCTGTAGCTTTGTTCTACACTGCTTGTTGGTGTAGGTGCTCCCAGGGTCGCAGCAGGCCTGGCTCTCTGGTTCATTTCCTTATTTGATGCTTCACCAGTTCATGAGGATAAAGAGACCAAACAACGTTATTTTAGATACCTGGTGTACCTGGTGTTTTACCGTTGCCACAAGTTGCTTTTTATGGCTTAAATATTTTGTCAAACTTCTTGTATCTGAAGGGAAAAACATTCAGCTTTGTCTGAGTTGGATACCTGGCAGAGGGGTAACTTCCTTGTCCTGTTGTGCATAGTTCCTTGCATCGTCTCCAGTGATGTTACTCCCAGTCCGAGGACCACGACTCCCATCACGGACAACCGCGGACTCGATGCTTGCCCAGTATAGAAAGTAAGACTGCACCACTGTGATGCTGGAACGACAAAGTGGTAGCTGAATATAAAAAGATGCAATTAACCAGAACTAATGAAAGTAGAAAAGCAAACATTAGTATGTCCAGTAAATCTCAGGGTTTTTTTTGTACTTGTGCAGAGGAACCCCAGACTTTACGAGCCTCGGCCGTACTTACTAGAACCTGATGTCTCCCGCGGGCGCATCGGGGGCTCGCCACACAAAAGACAGGTTCCTCTTCAGCTGTTTGTCCGAGTGCGTGAGGGTGTCGCCCTCGGAGAGGCAGCGCAGGGTGTGAGTGCCGGGCGGCGCAAAGGTCCAGGAGCCACTCACCAGCCCCGGACCCCCCCTCCTGGGTCCTACCCCCTTCCTGGCGCTTTCCACGCGACGGGCCTGAAGCAGGAAGCCCATGAAGTCCCGAGAGCTTCGTACCGTCACTGAGGAGACGGGAACAGATGCAGTGAGTTTAATTAAACCCGCCCAGTTTCTTGTTAATTGGTGTGTGTGGTTCAGTTCTTACCTGTCACCAACTGTCCGGGTAGGTAAGAAGAGGCGGATGCGCGCAGGGCGATGTGTTCGCGTCCCCCGTCCCGGGGGTGGGAGCGGATGTGGCCGGGAATCATCTCCCCACAGGAGGCGTGGCCGGCGCCGCTGGAGAAGGTCAAGGTGGAGGGAGCCAGAGACAGCAGCACCACACCCACCCAGAAACACCGGAGGGGCGACCGCATGCTACGGAGAATCACAGCGCAGAAAGGCGGAGCGCCGCATGTCACTGGGCGACTGAAATGAACCAGCATTCATCTCGATCTCAACGAACACTTTCACTCCACTAGTTCAAACTAGCCAAAACTAGTTGTAGGAGCTTCAATGTTATTCACTTGCCACGGTTTAAAGTTAACCCGAGTATAAAATAGGTTTTTTCCTCCAATATTCAGTTCACATGAATGCAACAAAAAATGACTTTAACAATGTTTTGATGGTTTACTGAACACGGTTAAAATATGTACATATGGGGGGTTCAAATAAAATGTAATGAGGTCCAGTTAGAGAGAATTTGTCAAATCAAAAGTCCGGACGATCATAATGTGACTACTTAGTGTGATTAAATAGAGTAATAGAGTTCAAGTATCAACATCTGCATTTAATCAATACACGACTAACAAATGAAGTCCGTGTGATTCAAAAACTCTTTGACAATATTTATTGTCACGTAACAAAGAACGGAACATATAAGTTTGAGTGCAAATATAAATAATATTCTCTCAATTAACTAAATTAAAGTAGGGCTGCCTTTCAAAATAAGAGAAGATAAATAAAATCTGATCATTTTACATGTTCAAATAAGTGTTTCAATTCAGAAAAAATAAAATAAGGGGAAGAAAAGCTTGAATTATCTGCTTCGCATTTGGACTCGACAGTCTCAGAAAATGATCAATAATAAATCTCAACACATTTGTCACAGGTGCACTGTAGGTTCTTGTGGGTACCAGGAGGCAGGACACGGCAGGTTTGGTTGATAGTGCTTTTTATTTACTCTTTCCGTTGTCAACCCACAGAGAGCTCCTAGCTCGCTCGTTCTGCCGCTCTCTCTCGCCCTTACTGCATTTTAATTAACAAGACAAACACAATGAATACGCATTCAGCTCAGCTGAGGCCAATTGGCTCCACCTGGCACCGTTCCCCGAGCCACTTCCCCTCTGCAGACCGGCCCAAACCAGGCCACACCACAACGCTCTAACACCTGAACAGTTTAATGCAATATTTAAATCCACTCCCACACTTGTTTGCTCAGTGGGAGAATGGAGCTCCGGCTTGTCCAGGACGTTAAACCCGGGCGTGCGTGCGTCAGGGCCGCGCTCATTGGGCCACATGATGGCCTTTCAACGGGTTCTGAGCACCTGACGCGCTGGTTTTTAATCCGCTGCTGTCTCTAATCTCTGGACGCTGCTGAGATGCTGTCGAGTCACTACCGCAAAGACTACGACAGCTGCGTAAGACAAACGCGATGTGATAAAATGATCTTTTATTAGTCCAAGGAAAACTGACAAATATACATTTGAAATGCTTCAAAGGGCCCGATACTTTCCTCAAACATCTGAGGAGGAAAGAGTTGATTCTTTGGGACTATTTACCTCTGGGGATGAACACACACGCCGTGCCGCGGTGAGCAGGCTGCTGTTTGTTTTAATTCATGTCAAAGTTAATTAAAAGAGATATTTGTTTTAAGAACAATGGTCAACTGAGACAAAGATGTGAATAATGTGCAGGTTCTAATCCATCGATGACTCAACACAACATCTAGTTATTTATTCCAGGATCATTTAAGTTCATTTATGAAAACAGACATTTCGTTTTTACTCTTTTTGTTTTTCATTGCGTTGTTATTAGTGCAGTGAGCATTAAGCAGGTGGATATCTCTAACAGAGAAGTGAGTGAATGAGTCAATGAATGAGTGAGGCAATGGATGAGTGAGTGAGTGAAGGAGTCAATAAATGAGTGAGTGAAGGAGTCAATAAATGAGCGAGTCAATGGATGAGTGAGTGAGGCAATGGATAAGTGAGTGAATGAGTGAGGCAATGGATAAGTGAGTGAATGAGTCAATAAACGAGTGAGTGAGGGAGTGAGTCAATGGATAAGTGAGTGAATGAGTGAGTCAATGGATGAGTGAGTGAGTGAAGAAGTCATGAATGAGTGAGCGAATGAGTGAGTGAAGGAGTCAATGGATGAGTGAGTGAGTCAATGGATGACTGAGTGAATGAGTAAGTGAGTGAGTCAATGGATGAGTGAGTGAAGAAGTCAATGAATGAGTAAGTGAGTCAATGGATGAGTGAGTGAATGAGTAAGTGAGTGAGTCAATGGATGCGTGTGTGAAGGAGTCAATGAATGAGTGAGTGAGTGAAAGAGTCAATGAAGGAGAGAGTGAATGAGTGTGTGAAGGAGTCAATGAATGAGTGTGAGAGTGAGTGAAGGAGTCAATGAAGAAGTGTGTGAGTGTGTGAAGGAGTCAATGAAGAAGTGTGTGAGTGAGTGAAGGAGTCAATGAAGAAGTGAGTGAATGAGTGAAGGAGTCAATAAATGAGTGAGTGAGTGAGTGAAGGAGTCAATGAGTGAGTGAGTGAAGAAGTCAATGAAGGAGAGAGTGAATGAGTGCGTGAAGGAGTCAATGAATGAGTGTGAGAGTGAGTGAAGGAGTCAATGAAGAAGTGTGTGAGTGAGTGAAGGAGTCAATGAAGAAGTGAGTGAATGAGTGAAGGAGTCAATAAATGAGTGAGTGTGTGAGTGAAGGAGTCATTGAGTGAGTGAGTGAAGGAGTCAATAAATGAGTGAGTGAAAGAGTCAATGAATGAGTGAGCGAAGGAGTCAATAAATGAGTGAGTGAGTGAAAGACAATGAATGAGTGAGTGAAGGAGTCAATGAGTGAGTGAGTGAAGAAGTCAATGAGTGAAGGAGTCAATGAATGAGTGAGTCTTGTTACCTTCAGGTAAGACTCTTCTTCTTTTCTTCCTCCAGAGTCTCTTCGGCTGTTGTGATGAAGACCTCGATCCAGCCAGAGGGTTCGTGTCAAGAGGAACTCTGGGGGGATTTGGGGGGCAGGATGTGGTGAGAAGGAGGGGGGAGAAAGAGGAGGGGTGGTGTAGAAACAGAATCTGTAGAGCTGCAGGTGAACTCCCTCAACACTTTATATTCTATTTGGATTCATTTCAAATAAAATAATATAGGATGTGATGTAATATATGATTATATAGACATCATGACATGGCTTCTACCATTTTAGTTATTTGTTTTCTAAATGTAATATTTTAGATCTTTCACTGTCAGTCAAACAAAAAGGGGAATATGTAACAAGAATTTTTTTTACATTTTTTAAGGTTAATAATCCAGATAATTCTAAACGATAATACCTACCTAAATTATATTTATGTATAAATATGTATTCATGACTTACTTACTTATTATTATTCAAATAATTATATAATCTCCAGCTCTCACCCCCCTTCGCCCGTCACTCATCACTGCTGCATTGTGACAGACAAGAAGGCTCTTTTCTCTAGGTGATCTTTTTCTACGGGATCAGGACCCCGAATCCCCCCCCCACACACACACACACAGACGCACACACACCCACACACACACACACACTCTCTAACAGGATGTACAACATTCCCTCTCCCTCCCCATCATTTAGCGTCTCCAGGGAGACCGTGGCGGATGTAAATCCTGTGATGGTTGATCAGGGGTAGAGAGGGAGCGCCGGGAACCGCAAGGTTGGTGGTTCGAGCCCCGGCTGCTCCATGTCCCATGTCGAAGTGTCCCTGAGCAAGACACCTGACGCCGAATTGCTCCCTGGGACAAAAATGTTAAAGCCATGAGTTAAAAATGTGGGTGGCATTGGATAAAAGCGTCAGCTAAATGACCTGTAATGTAAAAACGTCTTCGGCAGGTTTCAAGGTTCTTAGGACCACGTCTTCATTGTGCATGAAGTGGATTCCTCTGTCCTCCTCCCTCTGTCCATATGTGACCTCTGTTTCCTCTGTCGTTAAAGGGACATGTAAATGTCGTGGCGGAAGTAGATCCTGTGATGATCGATAAGGTTAGAACTCCTCTCTCTCTCTCCCTCTATATACAGGGAGAAATAAATATTTGCATTTATTTATTGCTCATATACATGAAGCTCTACATACCCCTCTTTGTCCATGTTTGTTATAGAACCTCCTCTTTGTCCATGTTTGTTATAGAACCTCCTCTTTGTCCATGTTTGTTATAGAACCTCCTCTTTGTGTCAGGGAGGCAGGACTCAAATGCAGACTTCACAGAAAACAAAAGACTTTAATAGTCACAAGATCCAAAATGAAAAGGCCAAGGGGCAAAAACACACAGGAACCAGGGGGAAAACCAGCAGGCATGAAACTATGAACATCCACGACGATAGACAATGACACGACAGGAGACACACGGCTTAAATACACAAGGGAGGTGCAGGTGATTGGACACAGGTGGAAACTATCAGACGATCACAGGGGATGACAGGACAAGGCAGGAAGTGAAGTTACCCGGGGACACGAGTGGCAGAAAACTACAAAATAAGACAGGAAGTGAACCATACCGTGACACTTTATACATGTTTGTTATAGAACCTTCTCTTTGTTCATGTTTGTTATACATTACATTACATTACATGTCATTTAGCTGACGCTTTTATCCAAAGCGACGTACAATAAGTGCATTCAACCATAGGGTACAAACTCAGGAGAACAAGAAACAAGAAAGTGCAATTTCATCAAATAAGCCAATTTACAATTTGCTATAGATGAGTGACGTTACAAGTCCAATGTAAGTGCTACAGTTAGTGTGTTAGTGGAGGTAGAGTATGAAGAGGTGTGTCTTTAGTCTGAAGATGTGAAGGCTCTCTGTGGTCCTGATGTCTTCAGAGACCTCCTTCCACCATTTAGGAGCAGGACAGCAAAGAGTGGAGATCTAGTCGAGTGTTTTGCTCTCAGTGAGGAGGAACAAGCAGTTTATCACATGCAGAGCGGAGAGTGCGGGTTGGGATGTCGGGTTGGACCAGGTCCTGGATGTAAGCTGGACCCCATCCATTCACAGCGTGGTACGTGAGCACCATGTTTAGAACTGGATGAGCCACCGGTACCAGTGAAGAGAGCGAAGGAGGGGAGGAGTGAGGGAGAACTTAGGAAGGTTAAAGACCAGTGGAGCTGCTGCATCCTGGATGAGCTGCAGAGGTGGAATGGTGGCAGCAGGAGACCTGCAGGAGAGAGTTACAGTAGTCCAGGCGGGAGATGACAAGAGCCTGAATCAGTACCTGCGCTGCCTCCTGAGTGAGAAGAGGACGTGTTCTCCTGATGTTGTAGAGCGAGTATCTACAGGTTCTTAACCGTCTCTTTGTGAACTTGTTTTCATTCATGCGTGTTCCTCTTTCCTGGAGCATGTAAATGTCGTGGCGGATGTAAATCCTGTGATGATTGATAAGGTTATTAAAAATATGTGTGTGTATTCATGTACTGCTCATATACATGAAGCTCTACGGACCTACGGTGCCTGAACGCCTCATACTCTTCCAAAGGGTTTAATAAGTAACCCACGAGGAAGTTCACATCATTATATGTAAAACGATCAAACGTAAAGAAGCAAATGATCTCGTGACGCTGACGCTTCATTGCAGAAGATATCGTTCCGCGCCACAATGGACGGATGCACTTGTAGAAAGTAATCACGCAAGAGGGGAATGAAGAAATACCACGAGTGTTTTTATTTTTCAAAAAAGATACACTGAGAGCAGTAACGTATGATTTACTTTTATTTATTTATTTCGTTGAAGAATCCGCCTTCAATTTTGAAACACTTTGCTGCAATGAATGTTTTACCAACCATCTTTATGTTTGTTACTTTATCCATGTTTGTTATAGAACCGTCTCTTTATACGTGTTTGTTATAGAACCGTCTCTTTATAGGTGTTTGTTATAGAACCGTCTCTTTATACGTGTTTGTTATAGAACCGTCTCTTTATAGGTGTTTGTTATAGAACCGTCTCTTTATACGTGTTTGTTATAGAACCGTCTCTTTATACGTGTTTGTTATAGAACCGTCTCTTTATACGTGTTTGTTATAGAACCGTCTCTTTATACGTGTTTGTTATAGAACCGTCTCTTTATAGGTGTTTGTTATAGAACCGTCTCTTTATACGTGTTTGTTATAGAACCGTCTCTTTATAGGTGTTTGTTATAGAACCGTCTCTTTATAGGTGTTTGTTATAGAACCGTCTCTTTATACGTGTTTGTTATAGAACCGTCTCTTTGTTCATGTTTGTTATAGAACCTTTTCTTTATACGTGTTTGTTATAGAACCTTCTCTTTGTTCATGTTTGTTATAGAACCTTCTCTTTATACGTGTTTGTTATAGAACCTTCTCTTTGTTCGTGTTTGTTATAGAACCTTCTCTTTATACGTGTTTGTTATAGAACCTTCTCTTTGTTCGTGTTTGTTATAGAACCTTCTCTTTGTTCATGTTTGTTATAGAACCGTCTCTTTGTTCATGTTTGTTATAGAACCTTCTCTTTATACGTGTTTGTTATAGAACCTTCTCTTTGTTCATGTTTGTTATAGAACCTTCTCTTTATACGTGTTTGTTATAGAACCTTCTCTTTGTTCGTGTTTGTTATAGAACCTTCTCTTTGTTCGTGTTTGTTATAGAACCTTCTCTTTGTTCGTGTTTGTTATAGAACCTTCTCTTTGTTCATGTTTGTTATAGAACCGTCTCTTTGTTCATGTTTGTTATAGAACCTTCTCTTTATACGTGTTTGTTATAGAACCTTCTCTTTATACGTGTTTGTTATAGAACCGTCTCTTTATACGTGTTTGTTATAGAACCTTCTCTTTATACGTGTTTGTTATAGAACCGTCTCATTATATGTGTTTGTTATAGAACCGTCTCTTTATACGTGTTTGTTATAGAACCGTCTCTTTATAGGTGTTTGTTATAGAACCGTCTCTTTATAGGTGTTTGTTATAGAACAGTCTCTTTATACGTGTTTGTTATAGAACCGTCTCTTTATAGGTGTTTGTTATAGAACCGTCTCTTTATAGGTGTTTGTTATAGAACCGTCTCTTTATACGTGTTTGTTATAGAACCTTCTCTTTATACGTGTTTGTTATAGAACCTTCTCTTTGTTCATGTTTGTTATAGAACCTTCTCTTTGTTCGTGTTTGTTATAGAACCTTCTCTTTGTTCGTGTTTGTTATAGAACCTTCTCTTTATACGTGTTTGTTATAGAACCTTCTCTTTATACGTGTTTGTTATAGAACCTTCTCTTTGTTCGTGTTTGTTATAGAACCTTCTCTTTGTTCGTGTTTGTTATAGAACCGTCTCTTTGTTCGTGTTTGTTATAGAACCTTCTCTATAGGTGTTTGTTATAGAACCGTCTCTTTGTTCGTGTTTGTTATAGAACCGTCTCTATAGGTGTTTGTTATAGAACGTCTCTTTGTTCATGTTTGAACCGTCTCTTTATACGTGTTTGTTATAGAACCTTTTCTTTATACATGTTTTTTATAGAACGTCTCTTTGTTCATGTTTGTTTTATGCTCCCGTATTTTGTTTACTTTATTACCCCGTATCTGTGTCATAAAGCTGACTTTGACCTTTCATCATTCGAGCGGCAGACTTCTCTGTAACAGTCTTTGGGATCCAGACCGAAGACCTTTGAGTAATTCAACATGTAACCCATCTGATTCTGTTTGGGTTTCTCACATCAAAGACGTAGAGACTCAGTCGCAGACCCAGGTTTAAAAAACGAGAACAAGTTTATTCCTTTTCTTTTTCTTTCAAAACCAAATTTGCAAAAAAGGTAAAACACAAAATCAGAAAAACTCTTTAAACTACAATCCGTAGACAATCCGACAGGGAACAACAGAAAGAAACACCTATATATTAGATTACATCACATCACACGTCATTTATCTGACGCTTTCATCCAAAGCGACTTACAACAAGAACATTTCAACCATCAGGACACAAACTCAGAAGAACAAGAAACAACAAAGTGTGATTTCATCAAATAAGCCGATGTACAACTCGCTGTAGATAAGAACCATTATAAGTCCAATGTCAGTGCTCCAGTTAGTTAGTGTGTTAGTGGAGGTAGAGTCTGAAGAGGTGTGTCTTTAGTCTGAAGATGTGAAGGCTCTCGGTGGTCCTGATGTCTTCAGAGACCTCCTTCCACCATTTAGGAGCAGGACAGCAAATATGAGGGAAGCTAACAAGAAAACAGGGGGAACAAATCCGACACACAACCAGGGAGATGATAGGGGGCAGGTGGGTGACAACAGGCCGGGAAGCAGCAGAGGGCAGCGTCTATACGGACAACGACAGAGAGACAAACACATGACGGAACAAACAAACCGGGGGAAACATGCGGCACAACAAAAACACAAAAACACACAACATCACAACGAACAGCGGATTTAGATCCCAGGCACCTCAAGCGATCCAGTGTTTGTCTTCTGTTTCCCAGAAAACGCCTGAGGGTTTAATAGTTGGATGTAGCCGTGGGGCCGTAGTGGATTAGTAAGGAGTTCTTTGTAAACACCTGTAAACCAAAGCAGTTGTTCCTGCGAGCTGGAGAACCTCAGCAGGGGAGCAGTAAGGGTCTGAGACGTGGACCGGAGCTTAAGGAGGCTGCCGGCTGGTACGTCTCAGACACATCAGCTAACCATCAGGACCAAACCGCTCCAGCTGGTTACTCGCCCTCAGGCTTCAGATGGAAGCAGATTTTGGTTCCACGGCCGGTTTGACCTCCTGGAGACGAGTCTCTCATTCCCCGTCATTCCTGTGTGGTGTGTTACAGGAGATGATGGAATGTGCGCCGGCTCGTCTCCTGTTGGCCGTCCTCTTGGCGGAGACGTCGGTCTCCCTCTCAGCTTCAGGTAAAGCGGTTTCAACCACAACTTGGCGGGAAACACGCTAACCGCCGCGTTTAACGTGTCGTTGTGCTTGTGATGGCATGACGTGTCAGCGGGGAGCACGCCGGCCTCTCCGTGTCCAGCCGGGTGGCTCCTCTTTGGGCCCAGGTGCTTCGCTTTCTACCCCGTGTGGAGCTCCTGGACCGACGCCAAGGTGGACGTTTTAATTCAGTAGTTCGCCACACGTGAATATGCACCCACTCTAACATGTGTGTGTGTGTGTGTGTGTGTGTGTGTGTGCGACAGGCTGCGTGCGCTCAGAAAGGAGGTCACCTGGCTGCTCTCCACACACCAGAGGAGAGGCAGTTTGTCCGTCAGTTGGCAAACACCGACCCCGCGGTGTGGCTGGGCGGACGCCGCCCACGGCAGGTGCATTGTGATCCCTCGATACCGCTACGTAGTTAATATGTTATCAGTTAATAGTTAATATGTTATCAGTTAATAGTTAATATGTTGACTACGCCACCCTGTAGATACTCGCTCTACCAACCCGACACCCCGACCCGCACTCTCCGCTCTGCATGTGATAAACTGCTTGTTCCTCCTCACTGAGAGCAAAACACTCGACTAGATCTCCACTCTTTGCTGTCCTGCTCCTAAATGGTGGAAGGAGGTCTCTGAAGACATCAGGACCACAGAGAGCCTTCACGTCTTCAGACTAAAGACACACGTCTTCAGACTCGACCTCCACTAACACACTAACTAACTGTAGCACTTACATTGGACTTATAATGGTTCTTATCTACAGCGAGTTGTACATTATTTGATGAAATCACACTTTCTTGTTTCTTGTTCTTCTGAGTTTGTGTCCTTATGGTTGAAATGTTCTTGTTGTAAGTCGCTTTGGATAAAAGGGTCAGATAAATGACATGTGATGTACTGTACATTTACATATGTGTGTTTTATCTTGTTACATGTGTGTATTTACATACATACAATTAAAACATATCTGTGATTGTGTATTGGAGTAGAAGTACACTCTAAAAAGTACTCCTGTCCCTCTTTGTCTTCCTCTCTGAAGAATGGCTCCTGGTTTTGGAGCGACGACTCGGCGTCCAAGATCCGTGGGCGGACCAATCAGAGGCTGGACATGGGCAGAGGGGGCGGGGCTTGCTTGGCAATCAAACCATTAAGTACTTTGCTTATTAATGTAAAATACTCAACTAGTGTCATTGTATCTTAGTCCCACTGCTACATAGGTGGAAGGGAAGCAAACTGTAATGTGTGTTTTCCGTTGAGGTGGCGAGCTGGAGAGCGCCGCCTGTGGCCAGCTCAGGTTCTACATCTGCTCCACGGGAGCCAGGTACGCTCACAGGTACTTTACACGGCGGCGTGTTGGGACGCCAGCAGCTGACCTCTTTGTCGCCTCTTGTCAAGCAGCAGGTCTACTGTCGCCCCCGGCAACACGAAACCAGTGGAGCCAGGTGAGATACTCACAGGTACTAACCACACACACCCAGGAGGTACTGTACTTCTACTCAGAGGTACTAACCGCACCACACCCAGGAGGTACTGTACTTCTACTCACAGGTACTAACTGTACATCTACTCAGGGGTTCTGTTTTTTTGCTACATCCTGGATGTAAATATTTCAGCAGATTAATACAGATACCAAACATGTACATGGTGGTAGTACTTCTACTGCAGTACATCATCTGAATACTTCTCCCTCAGGCATCGTGCCCACGGAGAGTCTGTTCGAGGTGTTGTGGAGTTTCAGCGACCCGCTGGTGGAGGAGATCCTCCGCTCCTCCACCTTCCTCGGGGAGCTGCGGTCCGGCGGGCTGACGCAGAGCTGCTACGACCGTTTCGTCCAGCAGGAGGCGCTCTACCTGCAGCGAGTCGGCGGCATGCTGGAGGTCAGAGGTCAACGCTCACGCCTGTCTGAGCGGGGCGTTTGCTGCTACACGGGCAGACGCTTCTTCTCCCTTTGCAAAGTGTTCTTCTTACTGCGTTCATCCTCCTGCATCTACACACCTTCTGCTCTGATTCGCTCCGGTGTGGATGACATCATCCTCTTGTCTCCGCCCGCAGGTTCTCATTGGTCGCTTCCCAGAAGCGGACGGCGCAACGTCGCTTCTGTGGGACGCCTTTAAACAGTATCGCAGCGGCAACCAGGTGAGCCCGATGTATGTTCGCGTCAGGTCGATGAGCGATAGCCGCGAGCTACAATAACTCAGACGACCGCCGCCCCCCTCCAGAGCCGCCTCCCCTCGCCGCCGCCCCCTCCGTGGCTGCGGTCCTCCCTGGCGTCCTTCCACGCCGTGGCCCTGGAGGAGCCCGTCTACTGGCTGGTGGCTCTGTCGGCCCGGGCCGGCCTCCGTCACCTCGTGGTCGGCGAGCTGCTCCCCTCCGGGGGGCCGGAGGCCGGCGGCCGCCTCCTCCGGGAGTGGAGCGGGGATGCTCGGGCGGACGTCACCTGGACACGCAGGTAACCATGGTAACACCCGGTGTAGTATTTGGATCATTCACGGTAGTAGTACTTGTAGTACATTACAACTTATTTGAATGAAAAAGATGACGATCTTTCTGAAGCTTCGTCCACACAGGAAGTAACGCGTCTCACCTGTGCGACAGGTACAGGAAGCTGGTAGAAGAGCGACAGCAGCACATGGACGTGTTCAAAGCCGTCAACATCTTCAGAGATCACATGAAGAACCAGAGGAGCCTCCACAAGGCCGTGTAAGAGCGCCACACACACACATAGACACACACACACACACACATACACGCACACACACACACACACACACAGACATAGACACACACACACACACACAGACACATAGACACACACACATACACGCACACACAGACACACACACACATAGACACACACACACACACACGGACACATAGACACACACACACACACACACACACACACACAGACACATAGACACACACACACAGATAGACACACACACACACACACACACACAGACACACAGTCACACGCACACACACACACACACAGACACACACACACAGACACACACACACACATAGACACACACACACGCACACACACACACAGACACACACACACACCCACACACACACACACACACACATTTGTGACCCCTCATGGACAGACATCCTGACTTCTGTGTGTGTGTGTGTACGTGCGTCTGTGTGTGTGTGTGCTTGTCTATGTGTGTGTGTGGGTGTGTGTGTGTGTGTGTGTGTGTGTGTGTGTGCGCTGCAGAGCCTGTGATGAAGAGGAGGAGCGGTCCAGCTGATGAAGGTGAGGCACCACATTCAGATACATTCCAGAAGTACATAGTATGTGGCAACAATGTGTACTCAGTACTAGTACCAATGCTGCTGGTAGTATTGGTAGTAGTGAGGTTAGTAGTACTTGTATGTACTACAGTAGTGGCAGCAGTTGTACTTGAAGTACTGTAATCTAGTAGTACTCATGGTTTAGTACCATAGTATTTGTGTTATTGGGATATGTATTATTATTACTTATATTGGTTGGTAAACAGTAATAGTATTTTGAGATAGAAGTAGTGCTAGTTGGAATAAGGGTATAATAAAAGTGTTGGGGTGCTAGTAGCAGAAATACATTGTAGTATATTTAGCAGTAATAGAAGAATTACACGCTTTTACAAATGGTATAAAACATATGAACAGTAATCGTATTTGTAGAAGCAGGCTAGTACAAGTATTGATGTATGATAGAGGTAGTATTGGAACTAGAAAAGCATGTGTACTACATGGTCTCTGAACCTGTGTACTTTATTCATTTGACAGATTAAAGCACCGGACTGAACCCGATTTCTCCGACATGAAGGAAATGATCTTCACTCAGAAACAGTGATTCAAAAGTCTGATTACAAATAAAGTTTCTGTTAAAACGCCCGTTTGTTAACACGGAAGCGTCATCAACGGTAATGAATACGGCCATCGGAGGACGTCTCTGGCTCCCCCTGCAGGCCGAGACTGGAACCTGCACTCAAATACAGAGCAGAGTACACAATACTACTGCAATATTTCATCTGATAATACTGTAGCCTGTACTTAAGACTCTACTACCGGTACTTTTTCATCACTTCAGTCAGTACTTCTAATCCTGAAACAACCACAACTGTGCTTAAATACAGCTACTACAATTATAAGCTGTAGTAGTTTCACTAGTAGGATAATATCCACTACTACTACTACTACTACTACTACTACTACCAACCGGTAAAACATTAACATGTCCACTAACACAGTATCTGCTGCTACTACAACGTTGATTCTGTCATTAGCACGCCGCTACTACTACTAGTACTAGACCTCATAGTACTACTACCAACCAGTACTACCACAATACAATATAGTACTAGGCCATCACCAGTACCACTACCAACCAGTACTATTATATACTGACTACGTCCAGTGTACAGTAGTACTGGTTTCTACTGTCTCTCTACTGGTTTCTACTCTCTCCTGGTCTCTTTTGGTTTCTACATTGTACTGGTTTCTACTGTTTTACTCTAATGGTTTCTACTCTCTCTACTGGTCTCTACTGGTTTCTACTCTCTCTACTGGTCTCTACTGGTTTCTACTGCTTTTACTCTACTGGTTTCTAGTCTCTCTACTGTTTCTATTCCCTACTGGTCTGTACTGGTTTCTAGTCTCTCTACTGTTTCTATTCCCTACTGGTCTCTACTGGGTTCTAGTCTCTCTACTGTTTCTATTCCCTACTGGTCTCTACTGGGTTCTAGTCTCTCTACTGTTTCTATTCCCTACTGGTCTCTACTGGGTTCTAGTCTCTCTACTGTTTCTATTCCCTACTGGTTTCTACTCTCTCTACTGGTTTCTATTTCCTACTGGTCTCTACTCTCTCTACTGGTTTCTACTGCTTTTACTCTACTGGTTTCTACTCTCTCTACTGGTTTCTATTCCCTACTAGTCTCTACTGGTTTCTGCTCTCTCTACTGGGTTCTATTCCCTACTGGTCTCTACTGGTTTCTATTCCCTATTGGTCTCTACTGGTTTCTGCTCTCTCTACTGGTTTCTATTCCCTACTGGTCTCTACTGGTTTCTGCTCTCTCTACTGGGTTCTATTCCCTACTGGTCTCTACTGGATTCTGCTCTCTCTACTGGTTTCTATTCCCTACTGGTCTCTACTGGTTTCTATTCCCTACTGGTCTCTACTGGTTTCTGCTCTCTCTACTGGGTTCTATTCCCTACTGGTCTCTACTGGTTTCTGCTCTCTCTACTGGTTTCTATTCCCTACTGGTCTCTACTGGTTTCTACTGATCCCTCTGACACGTGGGCAGCTGTATTATGAGCGGAAGTCTCAAGACCCGCACACACAGGGTCTCAAGACCCTGTGTGGTTCGCGAGCACGGGCGCGTGCGCGTGGGTTCACGCGTGTCCTGCCCTCGTGCTGTGATCCGTCGCGTGGACACACACACGCACACACACACGCACATTGCATCGCCCTCTCCCACGCACGCGCACGCAGACCGGGAGGAGGAGGCGGGACCTCCTGACCGACCCGTCCTCCTCCGGGAAGAAGCGGATCGCCTCCGTGTCCGTTCACACCGCGAGGAGCCGCCGGGTGATAATGTGACAAAAGAAGAGGAGACATGGAGGAGATCTACGGTCTCTGTGCCCCGGACTGCACCACCTCCTCCTCCTCCGCCTCCTCCGCCGCCCCCCGCCGCCGCCACCTGCCCTCCCGGTACCGGTAAGTCACGGAGGAGCGATGCGCGGTGCCGGGCGGGTTCGCGCGAGCGGCGTCCGCTGACCGACGCGAGCTGACCCGCGAAAACGACTTCTGAGGTCTAACGGGGTCGAGTTACCGATCAGCCATGTTGCGGGGGGGGAGGAGGGGGGGAGGAGGGGGAGAGGAGGGGGGAGGGGAGGAGGAGAGGGGGGGTAACGGCGGGGCTCCTGACACCTGCCCTCGTTCCCGGTAACTGGAAAAAAACCCGTTATTAGTAAGAACCGGGGCCGTGATACTCGGAGCCGTTCGGCCGTGTCGGGGGGGCAGAGGAGGGGGGGGGGGGGGGGGGCAGATACGAGCTGACGGCTTTGACACCCACCGACCGGGAGGGGGGGGGGGGGGGGGGGGGGTAACTGGTGCCCGGTCATCTTCGCTCGCCGGCCGGATGCGGTGGCGGAGCAGCCCGGGGAGGCGGGACGGGGTCGGTCCGGTTACCGGGCGACCCTTTCCCTCATTTAGGAGGCTTATTTATGTTTGTGTATATTTAAAATCGATATTTTATTCTTAGACCACTTTCTTAAATATTATAAATACATTTGATTGTTTTTACTGTCCCGACTACCATGAAATGATTATTCGTATTCATTTTACAATTGAATTAGTTTTGTTCTATAAAAATAATATTCCTTATTGTTTAGAATGACATTTATTTTCTCATTTATTTTGTATTAACACATTATGTCCATACATTTCATATTACATTATTGTATTATATATCTTGATGATGGTGTTATTTTAATTATATAAACTGAAAATGACAATGAAATGTTATTGAAATGTTGCATTTCAAATTTTTCCCATCAAGGGCACGAAGTGATCACAACGGCCGGTGGTCTATTGATGGTTATTGATCATAACCAGCGATTGTTTGTTGGCGGGAAGGTCAGGGCAGGAGACGGCGCGGCGGGGTCCGTTTCCATGGCGATAATGGGAACGATTTATCCCCTTATTATTGGGCATTACCCATTCAATAATTTATTCATTCACGGATTCACTTTGTTCATATTCCCTTTTCTTCTTCTCTTCCTCTCCATCCCCTCCTCCCTTTGTCTCCCCCTCTCTCTCTGGATCCCCTTCTGTCCTCTCTCGCCCTTCATCCTCCCCCTCCTCCTCCTCCTCCTCCTCTCTCAATCCATCTTCTCTGCCCTCTTTCACCTCCTTTCTCTCCCTCCTTCTCTTCTCTCTTCCAGGTCAATGAGAGGCAGCAACTGTAAATCCTCCCTGTTTTTTTCTCCTCCCTTCTCTCCCTTTCTCCCCCTTTCTCCTCTATCATCCTCTCTCAAAAACACACTCGTCCTATTTTAGCAGCTCTGCCTCCTTCCTCCTCCTCCTCCTCTTCTTCCTCTCTTGCCCTCCTCTCTCCTGAGTTTTGACTCCCTCTCTTCCCGCACACACACAAACACACACACAAACACACACACAAACACACACAAACACGCACACACACACTGGAAAATGAAGCGTGGGTCGAGTGTGTTGCCGCCTCCCTCCGATGCAGCCAAACGACACACACACGCCGCAAACTCACAACGCACGAGGACGCACGCGGCCGGCGATGGCGCCCGCTCGCTGAGCTCGCACCGCGCCGAACAGGACGCACACGCCGCGGGTTCGAGTCCCTTCCCGGCAGCCACTTCCCTCTTCAGCCCGGATGTCGGCACCAAGATGGCGTCCGACCTCCTCATCCGGCTGTCAGGTAACGCGCTCACGTTGGTGGATCAGTCAGCGGACGCCATTTAACCCGTGACCCTCGACCGCGTTGCAGCAGCGCTGCTCTGGTGTTGCGATCATCAGGCTGTAATGTGAACTCTGCTGAGATCTATTTACAGTTGACTCCCTCCCTCCCTCCGTCTCTTCAGAGGCCACCCAGAAGGCCCAGATGCATCCTGGGAGACTCGCAGAGGCGGAGCCTCAGCGGCGCGACGCCCTGCCGGAGGGGCGCGGCGGGCAGCAGGACGAGCCGGGCCTTGCTCTCTCGCCGGACGGCCCGGGGGCGAGTCCCGAGCCGCCGTCGCTCTCACACACGCCCGACGGAAACGCCGCCACCGACACGCTGGCCTCAGATCTGCTGAGGAAACTGGCAGGTACGCCTGTGTGTGTGTGTGTCTCTCTACATCCATCAGCTATTCATCTGTCCTTCCATCCATCCTATCATCCATCCTTCCATCCATCCTTTCATCCATCCTATCATCCGTCCTTCCATCCGTCCTTTCATCCATCCTATCATCCATCCTATCATCCGTGCTTCCATCCATCCTTTCATCCATCCTATCATTCATCCTATCATCCATCCTATCATCCGTCCCTCCATCCATCCTTTCATCCATCCTATCATCCATCCTATTATCCGTCCTTCCATCCATCCTTTCATCCATCCTATCATCCGTCCTTCCATCCGTCCTTTCATCCGTCCTTTCATCCGTCCTATCATCCATTGTATCATTCATCCTATCATCCATCCTTTCATCCTATCATCCATCCTATCATCCGTCCTTCCATCCGTCCTTTCATCCGTCCTATCATCCATCGTATCATTCATCCTATCATCCATCCTTTCATCCTATCATCCATCCTATCATCCGTCCTTCCATCCGTCCTTTCATCCATCCTATCATCCATCCTATCATTCATCCTATCATCCATCCTATTATCCGTCCTTCCATCCATCCTTTCATCTGTCCTTCCATCCATCCTTTCATCCATCCTATCATCCATCCTATTATCCGTCCTTCCATCGATCCTTTCATCCATCCTATCATCCGTCCTTCCATCCGTCCTTTCATCCATCCTATCATCCATCCTATCATTCATCCTTTCATCCATCCTATCATTCATCCTATCATCCGTCCTTCCATCCATCCTTTCATCCATCCTATCATCCATCCTATTATCCGTCCTTCCATCGATCCTTTCATCGATCCTATTATCCGTCCTTCCATCCATCCTTTCATCTGTCCTTCCATCCATCCTTTCATCCATCCTATCATCCATCCTATTATCCGTCCTTCCATCGATCCTTTCATCCATCCTATCATCCGTCCTTCCATCCATCCGTTCATCCATCCTATCATCCGTCCTATCATCCGTCCTTCCATCCATCCTTTCTTTAAGTACTTCTGTTTTCCAGTTATTATGAATCAGGAAGTATTTGTACAGCGTCTGAAATACTGGAAACTGACAGTTTTCCCGCCAATGGCAGAGCGTCAGGAAGTGAGCGTCCATGCGGTGAAGGTCAAAGAAGAAGAAGAGCCGATGCAAGTCGACACATTGGTGACCTCTGACCTCGCTCGAGATCGAAAGGAGACCTCCCTAAAGACGGCGGGCCACCGCGTCTTCAGCATTAAAGCGGAAGACCAGGCTGTTAATGGCATAAAGGGGGCGGAGCAGCTTCACCCCAGAGACAAGATGGCGGACGGGCGCCTTCGTTGGCCCGGACCAAAGACGCCTCACGGCGTCGTCTCCGGGCCCAACGGCCTACAGTTCCGGGTGAAGGTGGAGGATCGTGGCGTCTCTGGAACCAAGATGGAGGACCAGCTTCTCTTTCAAGCCAAAATCGCAGAGCGACCTTTCTCCGCCGCCAACGCCAGCAACAAGTTGCTCTCTGGGGTCAAGGAGGAGCCCGCTGCCGCGAGGCTGGACCGCGCCTCCTCGGGAGCGAAGGCGGAGGACCAGTTCCCCCCCGGAGCCAAGATGGCCGACCAGTGCCTGAGGGCCGCGCTGTGGCAGGACATGTCGGTGAACCTGGCGTCCACGCTGCTGCACCAGCTCTCAGGTACGAGCGCCCGACGCGCAGGTATCCACAGCCGCACAGCGAGTACGTGTACTTCTAGTGTACTTTGTACTACACATTTGTTGGATATTATTGTGCTTCATGTGTTCTAAGATGTATCTTCCTGCACAGCTTTTAACCTTTGAAGTTCAACTTATATTATAAATATTTATATTGCAGCAGCGACAGTTACTCCGTGTTTACGACCCTCGACGTTCAGGTGCGACTCGTTGATAAAACATCTGCCCTGATGTTGAACTCTGGTTCCCCCTGCAGAGCGAGTCAGCAAAGCCAACACGCGGCCGGAGGCGAGGACGCCGCCGCCGCCGCTGCCGCCGCCCGCCACAAGCAGGTGACGCTCCGCTTCCTGCCGCCGGGCGATGACGTCACGTGGACCCCTTGACCTCTGACCTGCTTGCTTTACGCTGTGTGTGTGTGTTTTCTACAGCCCTGTACTGAAGGCGACTGTGGACGCACTCTGCTCCTCCCAAGACCCTCCTCATGGTAACACGCACACGCAGTACATGTTCTTCTGTGTGGATACATACGTGCACTGTGTGTGAATAGTGTGTATGTAACAATTCGACCTTTCGACCTGACGGTTTATTTACGCGTAGAAAGACGAGCGGCTCCACGGCGCCGGTTCATGAAGCCGCCTCGTCGTCGTCGTTGTTGTTGTTGTTGTTGTTGCGGCGCGATGCGGCGCTCCGTCTGGCTCCGCGCCGCCCGCTGGGCGGAGGTGAACTGACTCACCTGTGACGACCTGCAGGCCGGACTCTCCATCGGTACACGAAGGAGGGGAAGACATTCCAGGATTAACGAGCTTCTTGCTTCTCGTTGTTCTCACAGAAACGGAAAGCAGCCTCGGCGGGGATCGGCCCACCGGCTGCTCCTACTTCTACAGGTAGCGGAGCAGCTGTGCTCCGCCTGAGGGGCAGGTGGAGACGTAACGGACGGACTGCTTGATTTGACCTTGATTAGACTGGATTGGAATAGAAAAAGCACTGATTTATCTCTCTGATTATTTGTGGTAAAATGAACTCAATCAGTCTGGCGCCTTGCAGGTGTCACGTGTGCGGCTTTGAGACGGACGGCCGCGGCCTTTTCCAGAGTCACATGACGGACCACCGGCGATGGGAGCGCGGCTCCTTCTCGCTGCGCTGCTGCGTGTGCGACCACTCGACCAATCAGGAGGCAGAGATGAGGGCTCACGCCGTCACGCACACGCAGAGGAACACGGGAGCCGACGGAGCGCCGAGGTTAGTTGTTTATTTCTCATTGAGAATATTTGGCAGAAAAATAAATTAATATTTTGTTGAACATAATGTAATGTTGTAAATAACAATACAAATAATATAAAAATAAATTCTACTGAATATTCTCAATATATAATTTACTTTTACGTATACATTTTTTAATCAATACTTTTGATAGTTTTTTGCCAAAATGTGTATTATTTCTCCAAATAATATTTTTTTAGAATATTCTCTCTTAATATCTATATTTTTTTAATTTTAACTGAAGCTGTGATTTACAATACAAATAATATAAAAATAAATTCTACTGAATATTCTCAATATATAATTTACTTTTACGTATACATTTTTTAATCAATACTTTTGATAGTTTTTTGCCAAAATGTGTATTATTTCTCCAAATAATATTTTTTTAGAATATTCTCTCTTAATATCTATATTTTTTCTCTAAATATTGTTTTCCTAAAACATTTTTTTTTCAATTCCCTTTTCATAATATATCATTATTAATCAATATATCATATTTTTTAAAGATATTTCCTTAAAATATTTTATTTTCTCAGAATATTACTTATATTTATATATTTCTTTTCTGAAAATATGTATTTTTTCTCTATTTACAACTTTATTGTCACAGTATTATGACTTTAATACAAAGACTTTTTATTGTCGTAGCACTACTTGTAGCTAATGTAGAATTATTCAATACATGTAACAATAATGAAAAAGTTAATTTAATCAACATTTAGATTATTGATGATATCAGAAACCAGGACAGATATTTAGTCTTTGTGGGATTGAAGCCTGCTGTGGGTTTTATGCGTTGCTTTTATATTACGTGTGTGTGTGTGTGTGTGTGTGTGTGTGTGTGTGTGTGTGTGCGCATCGTTAACCCGTCCTTCCCCTCCCGACTCCCAGATGCCCCGTCACCTCTCCCGCCGCCTCCGGCAGCACACCGTCAGTTGCCGTGGCAACCCAGTTAGAGAACAGCACCTCGGAGCATCGCTGCCGCATCTGCCAGAGGTCGTTTCCAGGGCAACAGGAGCTGCAGGTCCACTTCCAGGGTCATCGCCACGGCAACCAGTACCGGTGCGACCGGTGCGGCCACCTGACGCGGACAGCCAACAAGCTGGTGGAGCACGTGCGCGTGCACACGGGGGAGCGCCCGTTCACCTGCGACCTTTGCCCCTACAGCGCCAAGAGGCGGGACAGTCTGCGCCTCCACTGCAAGGTCAAACACCCCGGCGACGTGCACACGCACCGGTCGTACGTGCACAGAGACAACCAGCGCTCCAACAAACACGTGCAGCGGCTGCACACACCGGCGAACACACACACCGCTGCAGCCTCCGCCCTCCCTCCTCTCCATCCCTCGCTCTGTGACCGGGCAGGGTGGAGGGATCTGTCTCCTCTCCTCCCCATCACCACGCTCATCTCTCTGAAGCCACGCCCCCTTTCCTCCTCCTCCTCCTCCTCCTCCTCCTCCTCCGCCTCCTCCGCCAAACACTCCTTCCTCGGTTACCTCGGTCTGACGACTCCTTTGTAAATGCTTTTTTTCTATTCCTTCCCTCCTCACCTCCTCTCCTTTCCTCTCTCCTCTTCTTCTTCTCTACTCGGTCCCTCTTCCTCTCCTCTCATTTCCTTGTCTTCTATCCATCCTTTCCTCCTTTCTCCTAATTACTTCTCTCCTCCTCCCCTACCTTCAAAATGTTTCCTTATTTCTTGTCTCCCCTCCTTCCCCCTCCCCCATCTCCTCTCCCCCTCCATCGATCCTCTCTTCCTTCATGCCCTGTATCCTCTCCCCTCTCCTCTCTCCTTTCCTCATCCCCTGGACTCTTAAAGAGGAGGTGCCCCCCCCCCCCTCTCGGCTCACTATGTATGAGAATGTCAATCAGATCAATGCACTGAAAAACCTTTTTGGATTTATTCTCCTTTTTGCATCATGCTCGTGATTTTAATGCTGCCTGCTTGTAGTCATGTGACCACTGAATGCTATTTAACCTGTGACCTATTTATTGCCCCTCCGTCGTCCTCCACAAACCCCGCCCCTAAAGAACCCCCCCTCTCATCTGCGTTAATAACCCTCTGGGGACACTTACACGTATTCATATTTCAGTCTTTGCACCTAAAGAGCTTTTCGCTGACGATGATTCTCACCAGTAAAGAAACATCATCGTCTTCCTGTTTGTGGCAAAAAGAACTAAATGTGTTTGTTTTTTTATCATAAAAGAGAGAATAAGCAGATGTTTGCATCCTAGAAGCCGAACGTTGGCTAAAAGGCTTTTTTTTCAACTTTTCCGCCGTTTGACCAATTGATCATTTGAAATAATTCAGTCCTTGAATCACTTTAAATTATTCGGGGTCCTTTTCGGTTGCAGGTTTCTGGAGGGCGGTGAAGACTCTCTGATACTTTATGTTGTGTATTGATAATGTATTTGGGGCTTGCACGAGTCTGCTCATGTCTTAATTTAAAGTTGCACTATACGTAGAAAAGAAAAAGTCTTTTTTTAAACACAGAAAAACACCAGATATTTTATCAAAAACATCCTCGTTTCATAAACGTTTCAAGCGTTCAACACGGAGTAGGAAATGTACATACAGAAGGTTTATCATATTTTTAAAAACTAGTTGATTAAAAAACTCATTTGTGCACAATTTAGTAATTAATGCTCTGGATTTAATTTCATATTTCAACCGGCCACGATAATTAATGTTTTATTCGTTTCTGTATTAGTCGTAAGTTGCTTTCCACAGGTGACAAAAATGGCGTCCGTGACCTGAAACGTAGAAACCACCCACATATTGATTAGAATCCACACGCAAGTGTGGATTTTAATCCATATTTAAATATATCAAATAAAAGGGGGAAACACTTTATTTTGAAGGTTTGCCTTCAACCAGTTTAAAGTTGTGTTAAAGTGTTAAAACTATTATTTAAGTAAAACCAATGAAGAAATGTGGGATTCTGGAAAAAAGTACAAAAGTATGAAGTAAAACTGCATATTATTACATATCACGTGTATTAAATACACAGTGAGTGTCTCAAGGGTGCACGAAAGAAAAGAGGGCGTGAAATCGAGAGCAAGAATTAGATTAAATTATGCACAATAATTTGGTTATTTTATCTCATTATCGTTTTTTTTATTTGAACTGAAGCTGTGATTTGAATCAAACTCAATTGATCTTGCTTTTCCCAGCATTAAATGTGCCATCAAACGCCCCACGAGGCCTGGACCCTCTGGCGGTGATGTCACAGCGTACTTCCTGTGCGCTGTGACATCATCATTAAGAACGATACAATCAACAGTGTATTTTTTATATTTTATTTACAGGTTTTAAAGTGACACAAACATGAAAAGACGCAGCAGAAGTAAAACACAGCCACATCTTTGTATGTCTTTCTGTATTTATTCCTCGTATAGCTTGACTTTACCTGTGATATATATACATGTACACAGGTGTGTACAGTGATTGATTAGCAGCTTACAGGTGATAGCTTCCTCGCTAGCTGAGCTAACTGACGTCACGCCGAAGGTGAATTCAAACCGCCTTCTAAAAACGATTTGCACACGATGATGAAAATAAACGTTTGATCAAATTGATCGTGGTCTGTTAATAATTATTGATAACTGCACGCCGGAGGTTAACGATACCGCAGGGAGCGACAGGAAGTGATCACGCCTTTCAAACTAAAACTTGAAACTCCCGTTTGTTTTAACCTGAAATGTTTCTCCGATCAAAAAGGTGCTGAGAGCTGATTTCTGCCTGCTCGCTATTTAACCGCTTAAGTTTTATTTCCACTCAAAGACGCATGAAATGACCTCGGATCGTCTCTCTCTCTCTCTCTTCCCCTTCACCCTGTTACTGTTTGTCGATCAATAAAGTTTGATTCCATCTGACTCATCGGGTTACGACTCACTGCAGCGCTCACGTGTAATCCGGACTAAACCACGCAGTGCTCGTAAGAATACACAGAATAGATTAATAAATACACAGTGGAACCCGAGGAGGGCAGTGGGGAGGAAAGATGGAGGAGGAGAAAGGATGGAGGACGGTAGAGGAGGGGGGGGGGGGGGGGGGGTGAGAAAAAGAAGAGGTGAGGATCACCACAAAAGTGTCCTTTTGGGAAGGGACCAGGGGTGAAGGGCACCCCCCCACACTCCCCCGAGCGCGGGGGAGGATGAATGTGAAACGCCCCGGGGCCTTTCTCCCCTCCTCTGGGTTGCCACGGGTTCCCGAGGAAGATGTGGGCCCTTGTGGGGAGATACTTGGCGGCGGTGAAAAACACCTCGTTGCCGAAATGAGTCGCCGAGTAAAATTTTTTGGAAATGTCATTAAAGGGAAGGGAGGAAAAGAAGGAACCCGAGGGGAGGAGGTGAACATGAGACAAAGGGAAGAATAAAGAGGAGGAGACACTTTATTCTGCTGGTCAAAGGTCAAAGCCTGAACAGAGAGAACAGATGTTGCTGAATGCTATATATATATATATATATATATATATATATATATATATATATATATACGCTAATATAAATTATTTATAAAATACAAAAAAAATAAATCAATTGACTGTTTGCTGAGAGTAGAAATTCAGATTATCTGCAGAGGAAGGAGAGAAGAGGAGAGGAAGGAGAGTGGGGAGGAGAGAGGAGAAGAGGGGGAGAGAGTGAGGGAGGAGAGGAGGGAGGGAGGAGGAGAGAGAGCGAGGGAAGGAGGAAGCTCCATAGCTGAGCAACAAGGGGGGGGGTGTTTCCGGTTCCTCTCACCTCGTGCAGCTTGACGGCAGTGGGCGGAGCCACGCGGTGTTTCTCTCTGATCCACCACGTGGAGCTTCGCCGTTTTGAAGGATTTATTTTCCCGGCATGTGGTGACTGTCTCCCCCCACCAAAAACGCTCACTTTCAAAATGTATTCATCATTCTACGTTCACTGTAATCTGATAGAAGAGCGCAGGGGGCGTGACATAACAGTGTAATTTGTATTAAACAACGCGTTTTATTACGGAGAGTCTTAAATATATACAATTATTTAAAAATTCACTCAACCACTGTACTTAGGAATAATTTCTGACGTGATTGAGAATTGAAAAATATTTGTATCAATCAATTAAATATATCCGAAACCGATGTATGACAGTGATTGTGTAACCAACTGTCAGGTTGTTTGACAGACTAAACTTGCAGTGAAAGGTACATATTCCATCGCTGGTTTGATCACTTTCATTTATTAAACCTTTACTCTGTTAAAAGCCGGAAGTGCTGTGACGCGGCGCGCCTTGCTTGATGCGGAAGCGGCGGAAAGGGGCGTGTCGCTACCTGTTAGCTTGCTCGCTACACGCGAGCTAAAGTTTACCGCACTACTGTCACTTTCGGACAGCAGGGCTCTCCCCGGAAAGAGAGCAGGGCTTCCTGGGAAACGAAACTAGACGCCGACACTTTTCGTGTCCGACCCTCGTCAGATGTGGAGGTTAACCGGTCGTCGGCGTCGATTTTGAAACTTATATCCAGCCGCTTCTAAATTGGTTACGGGTTAAAACCGCCGCGCACACGGGCGCAGGTAGAGTCATCGCCCCCAGCTAGCTCCAGCGGCTAGCGCCCGGTGCTAGCATGGACGGCGGCGGGAGCACGAAGAGCAACGAGGAAAGGGAGGCGGAGAAATCGATGGACGGCTACCTGAAGACGCAGGGTCTGCATCGGAAGAAGATCGCCAAAGACGGCTCCTGCTTGTTCCGCGCTGTCGCCGAGCAGGTGAATGAAAAGAAGCTAGTTTCTAACTGACGGTGGTTCGTTAGCGTCGCTGCGTTTGTTGTGCTTGTGTAAGCTAGCAAGTGTGTCGTAACGACAGAAGTCCGCACGAGGAGTAAACAACTATTTATGAACTTAACTCCAAATACAGTTGTGAACGCAGAACTGAATTGCACGTGTGTAAAGGGGTCAAAGCAGTGACCACCACACATTTACGCTGTGTTCGTCCCGTGTGTCCCCGCTGACCTTTGACCCCGTGTAGGTGCTGCACAACCAAGGCCGTCACACCGAGGTCCGGGCCAAGTGCGTCGAGTTCCTGAAGGAGAACCGAGGGAGCTACGAGGCGGTACGTCCGGCCCGAGGGGTGTTTCTGTTCATGTTCTTTAACAGTTAACACTTCATTTTGGGGTAGTTTTTTTTTCTTTACCTGAACTAGAAAGTTTTTAAAGTAAAATAAACTTGTGGAAGCTGAAAAAATAAGAATAATATTTTTCTTATATTTATTGTTTGAGAGAAAATCTTCTGCAGTTTTTAGACTTGACAAAAGTGAAAGTCAAAGTACGAAGAGAAACAATAACACGTTGCTGGTTTTGGTCTTTTTATGGGATCTGCGGATGGTAAGACAACCAACAGTCAGCTTGTTTAAAACTTTCTGTAGTATTGTTTGAATTTAAAATAATACTAATAATGTTCCTCTGTGTTGCAGTTTATTGAAGGCGACTTTGAGGATTATCTCTTGAAGCTTCAAGACCCGCAGGTAAAACCGGATCCATGATTCCCGTCCTGATCTGATGACATTTTTCTATTCTTCGTTCAGAACCTCTCACCATAATGAACCGTTTTTCAGCAATGGGTGGGAGAGGTGGAGATCAACGCGCTCGCCGTCATCTACAAGTGAGCGTTGATCCAAAGAACAGTTTTATCACAATATGTCGTTAACTATTAACGAGCACTAATACTAAAAAAACAGCTGCTCACTGTTTGTTTCAGTAACAAATAGTAAAAGTACATTTAGGGTTTGTTGAAGAATGTATTTGTCTTTATTCGTGTCCGTAGGAGAGATTTCTTCATCTTCCAGGAACCTGGAAAGCCGGCCGTCAACATCACAGACAACAACTTCAAGGACACGGTGAGACGAGCGACAACATCAGCATCAAGTCGACACGTCATGCCTTATGTGTTTCGTTCAGTTTGACATCAATATAAAACTGCACGAGCGTGAACTAGTGATGGTGACCTGAAGGCAGCGAGCACGCGGCGCAGCAGATAACGCGGGCTGGTGGGTTTTCTCTCTCAGGTGCAGCTGTGTTTCCTCAACGGGAATCACTACGACAGCGTTTATGCCGTCAGCCACATCCAAGCCGCCGCCCTCTGCCAGTGTGAGTGTCCGTCACATTATCATTATTATTATTATTACTGGCGTATTCGTATCGACAGCAAGTACTTATACGTTGTACTTTCCTTCTTTACATAAATCTCATATTCTGAGACGATGGAAGCATGAAGCGTTAAAACTCCACTTTCATGTTTATTGCCGGCGTGTTTCTGGCAGAGTGTTCGTAATTATCTATAAAGTCACATTCATAAACTTCTTTGTCCTGTAAAGAGAGAAGTTAATTATTGAGCGTTTTGAAGAGAAACAAAGGTTGAAGTTATTGCTCGTCTGAAATGTGTCAAACGATGGATCGCTGCTCCTCCGTCAGCCATCTTGTACGAGCTGCTGTACGACGGCGTGTTCGGGGTGGAGCGCGGCGCTCTGGGCTCGTGTCAGCGGTCCAGCCGACCCGCCGACCTCCTGAGCGACGACGCCATGAACGCCTGCGTCAGCAGCGACGACTCGGACCTGGAGGCCGGCGAGCCGCTGTGGTACGAGGCGGCTGCTCCTTTATGTATCTACACATATATAATACATGTATATATACATATATTTAATTTAACGTTTATTGTTTCATACTTTTCTTTTTATAAATATTTATATTTAGTATGAATATTTTATGTTTTGACGAATGTGTTTAATTTAAAAGTTGTCAGATTAAATTATTGTTCATGTTTTAAAGATGTTTCTCATTTAGATGAATAACTTTCTGTGTATTCCTAAGTCACATGAATGGGATCCAGCGTATTGATCAAGTCACTCCACGTGATTATTGATTATTATTGACCATCTGATCTCACGTCTTGACTCCCGTGACCGCGTCCCGTGTGCTATTGTACTTGTACTGCTGTGAAGGACCTTAATACTTGAGTATTAAGTGTTTTTTTGTTGCTCTCTGGTTCAGAGTAGAAAACGAAGCGAGCACGCCGGCGAGACCCAACAACCAGCGGGTCAGACCAGAATCCTCAGTGCACGCACCATGTGACCGGCGACCGCCAGCGCGTAACTCTGCCTCTGTTCCTCCCGCAGAGGCGTGGGCGAGGCCGCCTCCTCCCCGAGCGGGTGAGGCGTTCGCTGAACCCGACTCTGCTCAGGAATGTGGAGTATGACGTCTGGCACAAGTCCAAGAGAGGTGAGCGGAACCGAAGCGACCCGACGGGTCCGAAGGCCTCAGACGTTAAACAACTAAATGGTGTTTTTCCTCCTCAGCTCAACAGAAGATGGATTATTGCATCGCGGCCGGGATGCAGTTCACTGTCGGAGATCGCTGTCAGGTGTGTGTGTGTGTGTGTGTGTGTGTGTGTGTGTGTGTGTGTGTGTGTTAGTTACACGGAACGTGTGCATAATACACATGATACACACGCCTGTAGGTCCGTCTGGAGGGGCGGAGCCACAGCGCCGTCATTAAGGAGGTTTCTCCCAACAACGGCCCAGTGAGCGTCTATCTGGAAGAACTGGGAAGCAGGAAGTGAGTCGCGTGTAGTAACTAGTACCACTGTGAAAGTACTCTGTTACTGTACAGTACGATCAGCTAAATGTACTCTTACATATTCTATAACCACATCGATAGTACTTGTGTATTACGTGAAGCACTTTTTTACTGTTGTACTGGAGCCAATTTAGATTAATAAACATTATTAACTGTTACCTTTTTATAAAAAAAAAATCCTATTAACATAAATACTATTATGCTAATGTTATTAACCATAATTATTATTCATGCATTAAAATGCTAAACATTAGCAATGTTGTTAATATTATGATTTGTTAATAAATGATTATTAATCTAATCTACAATAATACACTTACAATATTAAGTCTAAATATGTTTCAAATGTCTTTTATTTGTAAAGTAACTGAAGGTACTGATGTACAAATACCTCAAACTTGTACTTGAACGCAGTACTTCTGACAGACAGGTTCCCCTTTGGAGCCTCCGCCCCCCCAGCGAGGAGAACAGCTGGAGCACAGTGGTCAACCGAGGAGACAAGAAGCTCAGCAACGGACACGGAGGTGCGTGTGACGCGCACGCACACGCACACGCACACGCGTGCACAGTGACCCGACTGATGGTCCTTCTGTCCCCCTCAGAGTGGGAGGAGCGCAGCAGAGGAAGAGGAAGGGGGAGAAACGTCGCTTCCGCATCCTCATCCTTCGTTTCCCCGGCAACAGCCCCAGGCGCTAGTGGGCGTGTGCAGAAGCAGCACTCGTGGCCCCCGCAGGCCACCGTAGAGGAGCAGGCCGGGGCAAAAGGCGTCAGGTGTGTGTGTGTGTCATTGACCAGCTGCTCTCTGGTGGGTTTCTACTCGCTGACGAGGTCTCTGGGTCCGTTTCCTGGAACTCTGTGACCTTGAGGATGTTCAATTAGAGTGTAAAGTAATTGTGTGAGACGCGTACGTTGCCGTGGTGACAGTCTCCCCCTGCTGGTCACTACAGAGAAGTAGAGTCATTTTCTCATAGACGTCTATGGGAGCAGAGGAGTCGCCCCCTGCTGGTCACTACAGAGAAGTAGAGTCATTTTCTCATAGACGTCTATGGGAGCAGAGGAGTCGCCCCCTGCTGGTCACTACAGAGAAGTAGAGTCATTTTCTCATAGACGTCTATGGGAGCAGAGGAGTCGCCCCCTGCTGGTCACTACAGAGAAGTAGAGTCATTTCCTCATAGACGTCTATGGGAGCAGAGGAGTCGCCCCCTGCTGGTCACTACAGAGAAGTAGAGTCATTTCCTCATAGACGTCTATGGGAGCAGAGGAGTCGCCCCCTGCTGGTCACTGCAGAGAAGTAGAGTCATTTCCTCATAGACGTCTATGGGAGCAGAGGAGTCGCCCCCTGCTGGTCACTACAGAGAAGTAGAGTCATTTCCTCATAGACGTCTATGGGAGCAGAGGAGTCGCCCCCTGCTGGTCACTACAGAGAAGTAGAGTCATTTCCTCATAGACGTCTATGGGAGCAGAGGAGTCGCCCCCTGCTGGTCACTGCAGAGAATGCAGCTTTAACACTTACCGATGTACACTGTCAGAAGTTGACAACGTGTTTTCTGCTGGTAGGAAGTCCCTGAGCTCGGTGGACCCTCACTTCGGTCTGACGGAGAGGCAGCGCTCGGCCAGAGAGGTGGAGGAGAAGAACACGGCGCTGGTGGAGATCCAGCTGAGGGACGAGAACAGCTTCCCCGTCCTCGGGGTGCGTTCACTTCACTTTTATGTGTTTTATATTTATAAATAGGATTTAAACCTCCTTCCTGTTCGGTGAGACTCGGGTCACATGACTCGATGTCATCTTCATAGCTTCTCTGTCTTTGGGTTCGGAGGGACTTTATCTGTGATCCGTTCTTCTCTCTGACTCAGGGTGATGCAGGAAGGAGGAAGGGCGGAGACAAGAGATGGTGCTCGACAACCACGGCGGTGAGTCTGTTATTCGTAACGCGTGCAGCGAGTGACGCAACTAAAGACGCTCGAGTTGTATTTTAAATGACGATTAAGCCTAAAAGCACAATAACTTTTACTTCTTTTCTTCATGAAACGCTGATGTTTGTTTATAGAAAAGTCCGGTCGACGACGTCGGAGCACCGTCACCTTCTGCTGGACAAAGACCCAAATCCTCCACCCGCTAAATCCCTCTCCCAATCAATGCAGCCTATTTAACTTGAGCTATTGACCCGCCTGCCTCTCGACAGACTTGCGAGCCTGAAAAAATACAAACAAATTAGACGAGCGAGAAAGAACAACAGAAATGGTGGCGCGTGACAATGAAAAGCCACAATTTAAGTGACAGGCCTTTGGCGGAAGGAGGGAAGAAAGCGACAGAGAGGAGGAAGAGGAAGCGAAGAAAAACAGGAGGAGGATTCGATCGATATAAACAGATAATCACTGTCCCAAGGTGTAGAGAGTGTGACATTGCGGAGGTGGGTACGGCGGGGAAGAGATCAATGGGCGGCTTTTTGTTGATCCGTAATCCTTAACTATCTATAAGTAATTAACCTTCAGAGGAGAAAGCAGGGGAGAAATAAATGGAGCACCGAGCGGGGGAATAGCAATGAGCACAAGTAAAACAGCCGCTACTTTGCAGTGACCAGATAACAGCAAGAGGAGATGAATAGTTGTTTCCTCTGCTGGTTTTCTTTTGGTCGGGGACGCCGTCCTCTATGAATGGCAGCGTCTCCCTGTGGTCTTAAAGAGGAGGATGAATATAGAACGGGAACGAACAGCCTTATCTCGAATTGGAGGCAAATTAACAATAATCTAGAGTATTTTAATTATTTTCTTAATCTGGTGTTTAGGTGGGAATCTGGTCCGATCT